GAGAAACCTATTTTGATCACTTGAAAGGTCCATTTTTTTTCATGAGCTTGTCAAGGATTTTTAGATACATTCCTATGTATCAATAAGTGCTAACACTGACTCAAAAGTAATGGGTGGAAGTATCTGCATTACTGAAGATGATATTGTTAGGCTTATTCAACATGATGGAAACAAAGAAAGATGCTTTAATATGCCTACTCATTTTATAATAATGTCTATCAACTTTGTTGTAATTTTCAAGGATAGAAAGGATGCTCATTATCCTAAGAAACATCATGATAATCTTAGAATTTGGTTTAAGATTATTCTGGGTAGTTTTCATCATCGTCATTCCATAAACTCCTTTGATTACATTAATACTGATCAGAAACATTTGTTATACTACATTTCAGCTGAAGTCAAGATCAATCTGCCAGTTGTTCTGTTCAAATATTTGGGGAACATTATTACTGAGACGAGAGAGAATGGTTCTAAATCCAGAAAATGGATTCCCATGGAAAGATTCATTTCGGATATATAGGTGGAAAGCAAGCTTGTAAAATCTCTAAATTAACAAAGGAAGTTGGATTTTTTTCATTGGAACTCTTTTCAATGGAAGAAACATTAAGAATATGCTTATGATTTATGAAGTTGTTGTGGTTCCTGGTGACCTGGATAGAAGTGAAGTTACTTCTAAAAGATCTATAGTCGATAACTTTCCATTATTCAATCTTCATAGTATTGTTGTTATCCTTCAAGAGAAGTGTCCTGCTTCACCTTCTACATATCAAGTAAAAAGGAAGATGAAAGTATCCAAGAAGTGTACTGGTGATGGCCCCTCTGGGCTTGCTAAGTAGCCTAAATATCTGATGTCTATGAACAGACCTCTGAAAGAAACTTCAAAATCAGTTGGTGCAGGTTCAGAATATGCCTAGGTTCCTATAACTTCTTCCTCTTCAAGTATTTTGGAACCAGTGAATGTAGTAAGTGTTATATGTGTGTTTATGAGTTCATCCATTTCGTCCCTCACTCAAAATTCTACATCACTTATACCACCTCCTGGTTCCATACTTGGAACAATGATAGCTCTCAACCAGAAAAATCCAATTTCAACAGAAGTGTATGCTTCCGCCCCTTAACCACCCCCCTCTAATCCAAACATTTCTGAAGACACTTCCTTAGAAACCCTTTTAAAAGTCATCCATCCTAACCCTAGTATACAAGACTCAGATGCACATATGACTGCATCAGAGATTCTGATACTGACACAAAATTTCTTAGATATATGTTAGATAAAAACAACCCAACCAACCTTGTTTTTCTTTACCCCCTCTATGACTTTGAAGACGAAAATCATAGAATTATTGCCTTTCCAAATAAAACCCCCAATACTTATTCCACTCCTTCTGATCAAACTTTCCTAAGAACCAACATCCAACCACCCCCTATGTATGAACCAATAATGAAATTTAGTATAGAAGCAAGTGCTTATTTTCAATCTTTGAGGCATCGTTGTACCTTTGGTGTCAACCATACTGAGAGTGATCTGCTGATATGGACAAACTTCCAAAGATGGATGATTTATCGCTCTTTGGGGTTTAAGAACTTGTCTTATCAAGACACTCTAAAGAGATTCATTTCTAGACTCTCAGACGTCTTTCTACCCATTCTGGGCAGAATTAGACCTTTGTTCCTTTCTGCTCCAGATTCGCTTCTATGTCTTCTTGCACTTGAAGTGAGTTAACCTGCTGAAGTTATTTCTTCATCGCTTCATCCTTCTAAAGAAGCCCATCCTTCTGAGCAGCTAGCTATGTCTCTCATTGAGAAGGCTCTTGTTAAAGTTGGTTCTATTTCTAGGGATGGTAAACTAGTAGATCCTTAAGGGTTGTCTCTTGATGTGAAAGAAACTCTAGATATGATCAAAAAAGAGAATGCTCTGGTCAGCCAACGTCTGTATTTGCAAGTTCAACGGTACTTGGATCCAATTACGACAAATGCTGAGATTACTCAGATGCTCCGGGATGTTATGTTAAGGCTACCCCCAAGAACAAACCCTTAGCCTATTTTTTTACCTTTGTCTTTTTGAAACTTTGCTCTCATTTGTTTTAATATGTACTTTATCTGGTTAATCAATGAAGTTATATTTTAGTTAAATCTTTTAAAGTCTTTTTGATTTTTGACAAAGGGGGAGAAAGTGAGATGATTTTGATATATCTATTCTCAAGAACTATCACATACATGTTTTTGATATTTCTGATATTTTTTGCCTCTAACCATGATTGATTGATCAGGAACTTTGAGAAAGTTCACTAAATTCTCTAGATAGGGTATGATCAGATATTCTAAAGAAGATATTATGTTTTGTTATCCAAAAGTAGTGGTTATCAAGTCATGTTAACCATAACTTTGCTTAAAGGAAATTTAACTACACTCTGATACACCCAGGTTCAACCAAGGTTTTGAAAGCTCATCATGTTCTGATAGCAAGTCAAGATGTGAGTTACTCAGTTTTTTTAATAGGAAATTACAAACAGACTCTGACAAGTGTTCTAATAAGGGAAGTGTTCCTTTCATTCCGATTAGATTGTTTTATATTTCAAAATTATTTCATATGTTTTAAATTCAAGGGGATACTCTAAATAAGTTGAGATAAGTTTTGAGAATATAGAACTCAATGAAAGCGTTTTAGCTAACTCTGAATTGTTTTTATGCCATCATCAAAAAGGGGAAGATTATAAGAACAAGATTGTGTTCTACATCTGACCTTTAGTTTTAATGATAATAACACATTGTTTCTCAGAGAATAATTTTGTATCCTAACAGTTTTTTCTAGTGTGTACCTTTTGCTAACAAGTTCTGACGCTGGTAGAAGGATGTGCGACGTTATTAGTTTATGAATCAATACACTCTAACTCTGGAGAGATTCTAGTACGTGTTACTAAGATCTAGTCAAGTTCTGGAATGTCTCTAAACAACGGTTCTGATGAATGTTAGTCTAAAGCTTATGTGATGTGACTCTGATTGAAGAGCTTTTGAAGATTTCTCAAGCTCTGAAGATTATGCGCTTCCAAATTTCGAGATTCTGAAAACAAGGTTCTGAAGACATGAATTTTGAAAATTCTCTTTGATGTTTTGATTCTTCTAAGCATGCTTCATCAACACACACTCTGAAGCCTCTGAAGACTTAGAAGATAAGATCAAAATGATTTAAGTGAGTGAATAATACATGATACAAAATCAAATATTCCCATAATTTTTTTCTCTTGTGCCTTGGCGTTTAAGTAAAAGATGGAATAACTGTGCGAGAATTACTATAGACATACATTTCATTATCTCTCATATTTATAGAGAAGACAATAACTTAGTCGATATAAAGATCTTAATTTAACAGGTTTCAATTGGTTGGATAAACTCCTTAATGATGTTTTATCTGTATATAATCATGATAGGTTGGGTCTCTCTAACTTTAGACTTTTTCATTGTTGAATGATTTAATTTGACTCTCCTTTCACTTGATTCCTTTTTCTCTTTCAATATATTAGTGTAGCTGTTGCTCACCTATATTTAATCTAAAAAAAAATCATAAAATAGTACAATTTTTTAACTAATTCTCTAAAACCAAACATTTGTTTGGTACATAATTTTAAAAATTATAGTATAAATATATTATTATTATTATTATTATTATTATTATTATTATAACGCAGAAAATATAAAATAGTTTTACACTATCAAACAACGAACAATATATATTTTACCAAATTACTTAAATGACAATAAATAACTTATTTTATCAAATTATTTTTATATTTTAAAATTACTTAAATAACATAAGTGTTAATTTATTATTAAACAATGTAAAGTTACTTTACTTTTATGTCTATCAAACTCTTAAATTAATTCAATATTAAAAAAGGTAAAACCTAAGTTACCTCTCGTAAAATTGAGTAATTTATCTTCAATGACATATATCAATAAAATTTTATTACATAAAATTAATTTTTAAAATCACATATTAATTTAAAACTTTCAAATATTATATTTATGTTTTTTATTTAAAAAAAAGTTCAATATTTTTTTTTATCTAATGTGAGAATCATTATCCATATTTGACATATCAACATCTTACTACTCAAAAATCAAATTATATATTATTTTTTTAATTTAATTTTAATTCTTTAAAATTTTAAATTAATATATAATTTTAAAATTTTAATTTATATGATAAATTACCTTAAAATTATCCTTAAATTTACCAAGAATAACCAATAGTTTAACTTAAAAAAATGGTTGTATTGTCAAAAACAGTCTTTAATAATATTCATGTGACAATATTTGAAATAAAGACTCAAGTACATTCAGTTGCCATTACTTTGCTCAGTCATAAAACAATGGTTGTATTGTCAATAACAGTCTTAAGTAAATCTAACGTGGCTAAATAATGACTTAAAGGATATTTAAGTGTATAGCAGATTGAAAGGGAGTATTGAGTTTGCAATCATAGTGGATTTGGCGTGAGAAAATTGATGAGTTGTTAGTGTTACTAAGAAGAAAAAGCTTTTTCCTTACTTAACTTAATTGGCTACTACTTAAAGTAACTTTAAGTAATAATAATAATAACCAACACTAATTCTTCTTTTAACAAACGTTTTTGATATTATACATTAAGCAAAATGCATTAAATTAAATAAAACATTGTTTTTTATATCCAAAAAGCAAAATAAGAATTTTTATATTTTAGCTTTTGTTTTGTATGGCTCTCAAAGCAATAATGTTTTAAACAATGATTAATTCATAGTTCCATTATGTCCACGCAAAATGGTACACCTTGACACCTCCCAATTCCATGCATGAACAAGAACTACCCTATATAAAGGGTGTTTACCAACACTCATTTTCATATCTTTGTGTTATACAGAAAACTAAAGAGCTAAACCTTCCTCTTAAAACCTTCCTTCTCTCCCTTCTAAGGGACAATTCAGAGAGAGAGAGAGAGAAAGAGTTTACATAAGAACATAATCATGTCCCAACACAGTCATCTATCTTTTGCCTTTGGAGTTCTAGGCAACATTTCATCTTTTGTGTGCTTTCTGGCACCACTGTAAGTTGAAACATAAATCTCTTACAATCTAACTAGTTCTACATTTTCATATATAAAACATGTATCATGTTGTTTTGCAGACCAACATTCTATAGAGTTTGTAAGAAGAAATCAACAGAAGGGTTTCAATCCATTCCCTATGTGGCTGCATTATTCAGTGCAATGCTTTGGCTTTTTTATGCTTATATCAAGACAGGAGAAACTCTTCTTATCACAATCAATGCATTTGGTTGTGTGATAGAAACTGTTTACCTAGCCATTTATGTCACTTACTGTCCCAAGAAAATTAGGGTACGTAATACGTATATCAAAAAACATAGTTGATATATCAGTGTCTTAATTAAATTACGAAAACTCTAATCATTACTTAAAATTCTCGTTATGCAGATGTTCACATTGAGGATGATTGTGTTGATGAATTTCGTCGGATTCGGCACGATTGCCGTCTTAACTTATGTCTTAGCAAAAGAAGAGGAAGGACGTATCAAAATTCTTGGATGGATTTGTGTAGTTTTTGCTACTAGTGTTTTTGCAGCACCTTTAAGTATTATTGTAAGTATAGAATCAAATGGTAGAATTAACTTAATTAATAATGATTTATTCTTGTACAAGTTACACTAATCATGCATGCATGGTTTTTAATCATTTTGTAGAGAGTTGTTATTCGTACCAAAAGTGTAGAGTTTCTTCCTTTTCCTCTTTCGCTTCTTCTCCTCATAAGCGCGGTTATGTGGCTCTTGTATGGTCTTTCTCTCAGAGATATCTATGTTACTGTAAGTTCTCATCTTTCATCTTTCGTTTCATTCATCTATCTATCTACCTATCTATCTCTCTGTCTATGATTATTATAGGGAACCAAACTTTTTTTAGGTAGTATAATTAATGTTTATAACTAACAACTTTTGTTTTTTTTGACAGCTTCCGAACGTTGTGGGGTTAACATTTGGAATAGTTCAGATCACACTGTATCTTATATACAGAAAGAGTACGCCAGTAAATGATGAGAAGCTTCCTGAACATAAAGGAGATGTTGCTATGAGCAATGAAATAGAAAGCGCAGTTCCTGCTAATGGTACTTCAGATGAGAAGAAAATTGAAGCGAGTGTTGATACAGAGATTGTGAGAAAAAAAGAAGAGGCAGAAGAAGAACATGATGATGAAGAGAAGAAAGAGGAGAAAAGGGAGGTAAAGAATGAGAAAGAGAAGATTGATGTCAGCAAAAGTGGTTGTGAAGTTTAATGAAAGAATTGTTTGAGTGGTGAATCTGGGAGTGTGTTGTTGTGGTGTGATGCTCTAATTATTACGTGTAAGATTGTAAGACGCGTATAAAGGGGGGAGAGACGGTGTGGATATTGACGTCTGTCTTTGTATCTTTTTTATCTTTGTTTACAACTACTACTTTTTATTTTTAACTTTTTATTTTAATTCCTCTTTTGTGTCGTTCAAACTAATTATAATTATAATATAATAAAATACATGCTTCTGTTCTAGAGAAGTTTATGGAATTCACTCTCTCCAATATTTATGGTCATATGCATATCACTATGCTACTTCCTCCATTCCACAAACCATTCCATAATGAGTTTGATTTTTTATAACCAACTCTTGAATAAGAAAAAGGAGTAATAGCGATACTCCATCCAATCCGAAAGATAAAATACTAAAACTAATGAAACTGCCAAAAAATCACAAGCAAAATGTAGGTTTTTTAAACCACTCATAAAAATTACATAGGAATCTATCCATAAAATCTATGGTGAGGGCCACCAAAAAAATCATAAAGTCTTGAAGAAGATATATTTTGTCAATATTTAAGAGTATTTTATTTAAAATAAAATAGTATTTTAAAATGAATGACTCATTTTAATTTTTAATATATATTTTTTTAAATTTTATTCTTTAATTAATTAAATTTTTATCATTTCTAATACATATGATTAAAAGTATTATGGTAAAAATATTATTTTCTTTTTTATTTTTCTATAATTTTATTAATATGTATGGGTGTGTGTTTGTTTCAAGTTATAACATTATATTCTTTGGAATTATATTTCTGAGATTATTGTTTCTTTGGACAAAATTTAAAATTCTTAAGAATGTTTAAAAATTAATTTAATTTAAAAATTATAAAAGTAAATATAATGAGTAGACGTGGGAAGTTATAGGTAGTTAAACTTACACTACAAAATAACTTGTGTTTTGTCACGTGAAAGTCACGTCGCTAACATCCAAATCACGCCACTATTCAAATTTTGCCACCTTAAGAAACACGTCGCTATATAGCGTGTGACAATCTTGTTGCGACGTGAAAAACATGTCACAAAGTTGCCACGTGAAATTCACGCCGCAACAGACTGTATAGGATGAAAGTGTGCAGAGCAGAGCAGAGTAGGAAGTTCACATTTATTTTTACGTTTGTTGTTGCGGCGTGTTTTTCACGTCACTAATTAGTGACATGAAAAACACGCCGCAACTTGTTTTTTTAAAAAAAAATTATGTTTTAAATATATTAATTCTGTTTTAATAATTAATATTATTTTTTGTTTTATTAAATTTATAAATTAAATATTATAATTTATTTATTAAATATAATATTATAAATCAAATTATCAAAAACAAAACTAAATATATCTAAATGTATAAATAAATATACTTAATATTATAAATTTAATAAACTCAAATTTAAATTTATAATATTTTTAAATATACAATATGATTATAAATTTATATTACACAAATAAAAAACTAAATACAAAATAAAAATAAAACTAAGCAGAATCATTAGAGTCGTCGGAAAAGTCGGGAAGAAAGTCATCATTATTTTGGTGGTTATTATTTTGGCCACCACTGTTGGGATTTCTACCAAATGCTTGCATAAATTGTCACATTTTGCTCCTCCATATCAGCCTGCCTCTTCGCCATTGCCTCAATTTGTCTATTATGTTCACCCCTCATTGCCTCCATTTGGGCATCCATTTGGGCCTTCAATGCCGCCTCACGCAATGCGGACAACTCATTCTGCCATGCGTACCCCAACCAGACAACATGCTATATGCTGGAAAGTCGTTAATGGTCCACATCAAGGCAGCTCGCATAGAAAAGTTTTGTTTACGGGATATATCATAAGTCCATTCTCCATTATTCCACAACCTCTTCAAATCATCAATTAAAGGTTATAAGTACACATCAATTCCGGTTTTTGGACTCGACGGTCCTGGAATGACGCACGTCAAAAACATGTATGGTTTTGTCATGCACATCTCAGGAGGGAGATTGTAAGGGGTTACAATAACTGGCCAACAAGAATACGCACTTCCGGACGCTTGGACATATGGAGCAAAACCATCAGAGCATAATCCAAGCCCGACATTTCTAGGTTCGGCGGCAAAATCAGGATGTACCTCATCAAAGTGCTTCCATGCATGGCCGTCAGATGGGTGTCACATATTGCCTGGGCTTGTTTTGTTTGTATGATGCCATGTCATTTGACTTGCACTGTGCATTGAAGAAAACATTCTTTTTAACCTTGGTATTATCGGAAGATAAAACATGGACTTTACTGCTACACGTTTTTGGTTACTGTTAATGGCTTTATTGCGAACTTTATATCTTGGACTATGACAAAACTTACATTCTTCTGACGATCCATCTTGAGTACCAAACTCGTTGTCATAAGACAATATACAACCATTAATGCAACAATCAATCTTTCTTACTCTTAACCCAACTTCGACACCAACTTCTTTGCATCATAGAAACTCACAGGAAAGTTGTCTTTCGTTGCAGTTGAGTCCAACATCATTTTTGCGAAGTGCTCCAAACACTGATCAGGAACATTCCAATTTGACTTGGCGGCCAATAATCTAACACACATTGATAGTTTTGAGTCTGGCGACCCCTCAAACAACGGCGTATTCATCTCATTCAACAACTGGTAAAATCTCTGCGCTTCCTCATTAGGCAACTCTTCCCCGTCAAAGTCTTCAGGTTGATCATAGGTCACGTTAACACCAAAAGCATCACCAACCATGTCACCTATCAGATTAATGTTTTCTTCAAATTCCATAGGTGGTTGCATAACCGGTTGACTACTTGAAGCATCTGTGTTGCTAGTCTCTGGTACATTACTCGGCAGTGTTTCACCATGATACGTCCAAACCCAATAATTTTTAATGAAACCTTTCCTATGCAAATGACGTCTTCCTGGATATAGTCTATCGTACATCCAACTACGATAATACATATAATATTCCATTTACTGCAAATTTATATAATCAAAACCTATTTAATTAGAAATATTAATTAATCAACTTAATAATAATCCTAAACATATACAATTAAAGATAAATATATGCTTTCAAAAATATTTATAAACTCCTAAAAATATTTATTTATTTTTAAAAAATTAAAATTTAATTTAAACACCTAAATTTTATAAACTCCTAATATTTTTAAAAACTTATTAAACTCCTAAAAATTTAATTTAAACACTTAAAATTTATAAACTCCTAAAAATATTTAGTTATTTTTAAACACTTAAAATTTAATTTAAACACCTAAATTTTATAAACTCCTAAAAATTTAAAAACTTAAACTCCTAAAAATTTAATTTAAACACTTAAAATTTATAAACTCCTAAAAATATTTATTTATTTTTAAACACTTAAAATTTAATTTAAACACCTAAATTTTATAAACTCCTAAAAATTTAAAAACTCATTAAACTCCTAAAAATTTAATTTAAACACTAAAAATTTATAAACTCCTAAAAATATAAAAACTTAAACTCCTAAAATAATTAAACTCATTCATCACAAATTAATAATTAATAATTATTATAAACTAAATAATTAAACCTAAAATTTAACTCAAATACAAAAAATATATATAACCCAAATTCAACAATTTTAACCAAATGCAAATTCATGAAATTCAGAAAATATATATAACCTAAAAATTAATCAAATTCATAAAATATACTAATTTCAAAAAAAATAATTCAAGACATACCTTTTATCTTGTAACTCCTTCAATCTTCTTGTCCCTTTTTGCAATTTATACTTCTATCAATATTCTTCTTCTCTATTCAAAGAAAAATTGAAAAAAAATTATATTCAAATAACACATCAAAAGCTGTTAACAAAGTATAAATAACATTGAATTGAAATTACCTTACAACCAATGTATGGAGATTGTAGGAATTTAAGTGTGGAGAAGAAAAAATTTTGGAGAAGAAAATGGGTATGGAGGAATATGGAAGGTTGAAGAAGAAGTTTAATAAAATCTGAAACGCTAGTGTGTGTTGTGGAGCGTTTTGATAAAGCAGATAAAGCAAGTAGCGACGTGAAAATCACGCCGCAACGTTGCCACGTGATTTTCACGTCGCAACAATCATACAACTGTTTTCCCTTTCTTCAAAACCTGAACACGCCAGTGTTGGAAGTTGTGATTAATTTATTTTTTATGATATTTTAATTAGCGATGTGAATCCCACGTCGCAACTTTTTTTAACACAAAAAAAAACTAACACACTTAATGTTTCTTTATTATATTAGTAAAACACGTTGCCACGTGATTTTCACGTCACAACTGGCTTTATTTAGCCACATGAAAATCACGTGGCAAAATCACGTGGCTGGATAAGCATTTTCTTGTAGTGTTATTCCCATAATTCTCATCCTTTATGTCTTAGAATAAGAATAAAAAAACCATGGAGACGTTTGTTTCAAGGTGTCAAAATTTATTCCTTGGAATTACTATCCAAGGAAAATAAATGTAAGAAATTTATTCCAAGGTATTCTTCTCAAAAATTGTTTGGCAAAAATTTTACTATTCTCATAAATATTGTAATTTTTATTAATTTATTTAAAAAAAGTATATAAAGTTTCATGGAAATCAACTTTCCCATCCTTTAACATGGTAATAATTCTACGAAAATAAAAGAAGTTATAAGAAGTTATTTTGTTCCTTGGAATCATTATATCGAGCAATAATTTTTTTCAACCTTGTAACAAACCTGAGTTTTTTCACTTTTTACCTATATATTCTCAGAAATATAATTTCTAAACTTGAAACAAACACATCTTATGTGTAAATAATATTTCTTAAAATAATTTTATAAAACTTGAATCAAACATAAAAATATTATATTCCCATAGTCATATTCCCAGGAATATGTGTTCTAAATTTGAAACAAACACAATAGTGATTTGTATTCATTGTGAAGAGGAAGTATTTAA